TCAGTTCATAGCTCCGATCGAAGGTGAGTGGGCCTGTTTATTGACATATAACAAATGATATATAGAGAGTATTTTTGTTAATGTGTGTGTTTTGTAAATTGTAACTTTTTATCATATTTCCACTTATAACTGAATCTACCTGAGTTTGTTTTGCCGTAAATAGGTTGGTTCATGCGATCCGGTTGTAGACATGACTGGGTGTAGTCTCGAAAAAAAAAAGATGCTACAATTCCACTGTACTTTTTGGCAGCTTAAGTCTAAAAATTCTTGATACTGTATACCTTAAGAACACTTAGTGAGACGCATTTCTAATTTTTCGCATGCCTTAAAAAGGCATTCAGCTTAACCTTCTGCCAAACACAAAATCTAGCATATGACAGTACACTCTGAAAAATTGAATTCGGGCTGTGTTGTGCGTGTTGCAATCAAAGTCTTATAAAAAAACATGTACATTTTTTGTCTTGTCTCGTTCCCATAAATTTTTCGCGTGAATTTTTCCCTATTCGTCGATTAGTTTGAATCGATCAAAGTTGGCAGCTAACAATTTCGTGTTGCATAAACGACGCTTAACGAAATTTGAGTCATTTAAAGGGTTCGCAGAACTGTTGTTTCTATTGTACTTTTCCTTTTTCAATCATCTTTATTTCTTTTCATCTAGACAGACATAACAGAACTTAGTAGTTTATGAGGTTAAGCTCACAAAAGTAAGACAAGTCGCGTTGTTTTCACAATCATCTAATCGTTCGCTGTCACTAAGACTGTTTGAGACAACACCACCCTTGGTCGTAGACATCATTTACAAACGGTGTAATGCATAATTTGCAAACGACGCTAACATTGGGGCGCTGCTTGCCTTGCTATTTTCGATTTCGCTACGCACCAATAATAAGCCCTCTGCCAATTTAACTCGATGTCGCCACCAGTTCAATATAGATAATTACCACCCGAAGCTAAACCGAAAGCTCAGTGTAGCCGGAATATGAAGCTGTGGTATATAAAGTGGACCAATAGTTCACTATATATAGACATTAACAGTTTGTGTTTAACCTATGAAATTTCTTTGCCTGAAAAATAGGCTCAAAGACTGCCAAGAAACAGCAGGCTTCTCGTCCTGAGATAACATAGGCCACATACAGACTGTGAGCAATTTCAGTATCAGTTATGAACGTGAATATTGTGGTTGGTATAGTATTCATAGTCGCCTTCTATGATGCAGTTTTAAGGTAAATTTTCTTTCATGTAATCAAAATATTCCTTGTTTTAGTAGGGAGTTTTCGACACGTCGTTCTGACGACTAACTCCTCGATTTATAAAACCAGTATTAGTTTTTAATCTTATTAATCTTATTACTACTTTTGTAATTCTGTTAAAATTAATTCTAAAATAGCCATTTGTAAATAAATATACAAAATAGAATAACCGCTTGCTTGATACCATAGGCGCACGGTATTTCAACATCGGGGGCTAAGACCTTATTTAACTAAGATATTGAGAATAAAGACGCGGACAACAGCAAGCATTTGTACAAGCCATAATTAAGGGGAAACTTAAAAGCCTTATTTCGAGGATGCATTCCTCGAGGAAATCAAACCCGCGTTTACCTGTTTGTGTTGTAACAGCTTTGTTTCTTGGTCGAGCTTGCATTGGAATTACAGGATTAACCTACGACGAACGTTCGAGCTTGAGCATGTGAAAAAATACTGCATGTCTACGCCGATTTCCCACATGTACAGTCCGATCGCAACTGCCACGCAGAATTTACAAGGAAAATAGAAACCTTTCCCGAAACCTTTGCAGTGATTTGCACAACAAAACCTTTTCAGTATTATTCATTGTTGAGATTTTTCGCTTATTTTATTTTATTTCTTCCTATTTTCCCCTGCCTTGCTACCCAAATTCATAACTGACATTTTGAGGGAAAAATGCTAAAATTTTGTATCGAAGCGCCAAACGCCGCCTCGTACGCTATTGCTCAAAATTCATCTTGTATTCTAGTATTTTTTTTTTTCACCTCTCCCATGATACATGATCTTTTTCGTTAATTTTTCCTAGTTTGTCGTCTGGCAAAGACGATGAGCGTCGCGCAGTCAAGATGGTACCGATGAAGAACATGTCAAATAGAACCTTGCAAGACATTCTACGGGTGACTAAATCGTAAGTACCTCTTTAAACCTGGCGAAGGACGAGGTGAATTTAGTATAATTAAAAACAAGTTTTGAAACACATATAATTCTCAATTACAAATCGGCACAACACGTATAAACAAAAACAACTCTCTCATAATACATGATCTTTTTCATTAATTTTTTCCTAGTTTGTCGTCTGACCAAGACGATGAGCGTCGCGTGGTCAAGATGGTACCAACGATGAAGAGTTCAAATAAAATTTGGCAATACATTCAACAAGCGGCTAACTGGTAAGTACCTCTTTAAACCTGGCGAGGGACGACGTGAATTTAGTATAATCAAAAACAAGTTTTGAAACGCATATAATTCTCAATTACAAATCGGCACAACACGTATAAACAAAAACAACCAGCGTATACTAGAGAAGAAAATATAAATGTATTTTAATCATCACAAACAAAAGAGGGCGGAAAACCAAACATAGCGAAAGAAAAATAAACAAAAACAAAATAAGGAAAGACAAATTTTTAGCGTTAGACTCGTAAGTTATAACAGTATTCCATACATCACTGTTAATGAACAATTTAAAGAGAGAATTAGTAAATCATTCTAATTTTACTATAAGAATGTCATGACTTTCGTTACAAAGGAATGCTTGTTTTGTTTATAAGGTGCACATGACACTGACCTTGTCTATGTAATTATGCGATAATCTTTGCTTTTTAAGGCACGAAAAGCTTCAAGAATGCGATGTCTCTCTTCCGCAAAAGGCTAACTTGGTTTGCAAATTAGGAAGGGCTTTGGAACTTTGCGCGATGGAACACATATGGAAGTTGAAAGATAGCTCGTATGGATTCGCTCTGTTAGATGGGGAATGGTCCTGGATATTAATTCTGAGTGATTTCCTAAATCCCTTCACAAGGTTTTATTTAGAGGGATACCTTCAAACTGTCCTTACCACCAACTTAGGCCTTGACATTTACAAACGTTTGGTCAACAAAATCCCCGAAAAAGAAACAAACCACGACATCAGTTATCAGAAATTGGCAAAGTTTTTTGAAATGTCTGCGGAGTTTGGAGGGGTAAGACTAACTCTTTGTTTGTTTGTTTGTTTGTTTGTCTGTGTGTGTGTGTGTGTGTGTGTGTGTGTGTGTGTGTGTGTTTACGGTTGTGTCAGACTACTACTAAGCTCCTCCGTGTAAGCTAATGGACAAAATATATACAACAGCGTTTATAAACGAACCCTTAGGCAAGCTGTACACATATAGCATGTGATATAGCGTAATATGTACTGGATCACTCGAATGGCGAAGGAGAATTCTTCATTCGTAGAACAAACCTCAGTGTTTTTATTCCTAAAGGTATATAACAGGCGGCCATCGAAATATGAAGCCTTTATTGACGACAAGACTAAGTGGATAAGCGACCAGTTCTTCACTCAGCAGCGCCTGGCAGGAGTCAATCCTATGTCACTGAGACGAGTTACTCTCGAAGCTGGTAAAACTTCTTCTAAGAATGGTGTCTCTAGAAAAACAATTACTACCTTTCAAGTTACAGAAAACCTTAAAAACTTGTTTTGAGCTGCTTTTCAATTTTGGATCGTTCTCGATGTTTTTCTTTTTTCAAATGCAGGCTCTTTGCCGGCGCTTGCACTATTTTTCCAGCGGCAATGATAGTGGAAATAACAATGTAAATAACTGTTATTCAACTTCTATTGATCATGGCTAGGAATGATATTGATAACGATAATAATGATGATAGTGGCAGTAATAATAATGATGATGATGATGATGATAGTAATGGTAATGATGATAATAATCATATTGATAATTTTGATAATGATGATAATGATAATGATGATGATAATGATAATGACGATGACGAAGATGATGGTGATGATGGTGATGATGATATCAATAATAACAAGACAGGAACAAATAAAAATAAAAATAAGAGTGCGTTGCTTTCTTTTAATCCTTCCTTTATCCTCGTTTAGGTCCAGTAGGGTTGGATTGGGACACACTTTATAAAACACTGAATACAGAATTTGACTGGAAAGGCGCTGTGCAAAAAGCTNAGCTGGTAAAACTTCTTCTAAGAATGGTGTCGCTAGAAGAACAATAACTACCTTTCAAGTTAAAGAAAAACATTAAAAACTTTTTTTGAGCTGCTTTTCAATTTTGGATCGTTCTTGATGGTTTTTTTCAAATGCAGGCTCTTTGCCGGCTCTTGCACTATTTTTTTTAGCGACAATGATAGTGAAAATAACACTGTAAATAACTGTTATTCAACTTCTATTGATCATGGCTAGGAATGATATTGATAACGATAATAATGATGATAGTGGCAGTAATAATGATGATGATAATATTAATGGTACTGATGATAATAATCATATTGATAATAATGGTAATAATGATGATGAGAATGATAATGATGATGATGATGATAATAATAATCGTATTGATAATTATGATAATAATGGTGCCGGATAATGATGGTGGTGATGATGGTGATGATGGTAATGATATCAATGATAACAAGACAGGAACAAATAAAAATAAAAATAAGAGTGCACATGTCCTACGTTGCTTTCTTTTAATCCTTCCTTTATTCTCGTTTAGGTCCAGTAGGGTTGGATTGGGAAACACTTAATAAAACACTGAATACAGAATTTGACTGGGGACGCGCTGTACGAAAAGCTTTGGGAACCGATGACACGTTAAAAGAGGTATTATTACCGTCCAGAAGATAAATACCAAAGTCTTTACAGTACAAATTCTTAAGCCGCACCAGTTCGAAGAAAAGTTACTTATCAAAGCGCTTAACGTTAAAACAAAGGGTTTGAGTTTTGTTGTTGTTGTTGTTGTTGTTGTAAACCGACTAATTGCGTGGAGGGACAAAAACTAAGTCCGAACCTCTCACTTAACTCGAGGGTTTAGAGAAAGCTCCAATCTAAAGTTCAATTTTGACAACAGTGAAACCTGCATTAAGTGCACCAGATCACAAGCCTCACTAGGCCTCAATTTTTT